ATTATATATATATATATATATATATATATATATATATATATATATATATATATATATATATGAAAGTGAAAATAATTAAAATAATGCGATACACTAAGTTTGTTTATTGGTCAGAGGACAGAATATAAAAAATTGTAAAGAAAATGTAAATTAAATAAATTATTAATTAAAAAAGTGTAGATAAAAAGTAAATAAATATTATGACAGTCTAGGTTTGTTTCTTGATTTTTGGAGAAGTGTTAAAAAAAAATAAATAAAAGAATGTCAGACGGTTCATAAAAAATTAATAAATTTGATATGAAAATATTTTAAACTTTCTAAAAATAGCGTGGCTCGAAATAAAACCGCTGGAAATAATTGTTTTGAATTTTCAAATTAAAAAATATATAATACTTTGGATTTCTTGACCAATCAGAGGGTTGATTTTAACTCACGTAAATTTAAAAGTACTATTTGGGGGTTATATAAGAAGACGAGTTGGCAGAAAATTTCAAAAGGCAGCAACTATTTCGAAAGTTACGGAAGGCACCAATTTTCCGAACGTATAAAACTTTGGAAGGAACAAGAAAATAGAAGCTACAACAACAAGAAATTTAAAAGTGAGGATATCAGAAGGAAAAGCTAGTGGATGAGTTTATTACGCAAGAAGTAAGATGCAAACAAAGACAGGAACAGGAAATGAAGCAGAATCAACATGAAACCAGAAAGTGACTCGAACTGTGTTCAATAAAAAGAACAGATGAGTTAAAGTCTCACTGATGCTGGTGAACCCTGCCGAAACCTTCTCAATTTCAACTTTCAATTCAGAATATCTGTTTTGAAATAATGCATTTTGAAACATTCTTTTAAAGGGATTGTATTGTGTCATCTCAAAGGATCTTTCAATGTTACACGTTTGTATATTTTGTACTATTTTTTTTAAAAAGGAATTTGTATTGTAAAGACTCAAAATGTTTCGGTTATTGAAAGGTTGCTGAATAATAGCATGAACGATATTTTTATTTTTTTAGTTGGTTATGTGCAAACTTATTAGTAATACTTGTATTCTGTTATTTAACTTTTTATGTTAATGTAATAAAATTTTTTTTTTTTTTTCAAATTTCACATCGGAGTTGCAAGTCTTGCTTGTTTTGGTGTACGCCTTTATTCAATATTTAGGATAAGAAAGGTGACATTTTCTCTTCTCCCAATCTCTCTCCCGGAAAAAAATACTTTTATTATAGTTATGGATATTTGTTTTTTTTTTTTAATTTCCAATATATCAAGATTGACATGGGTCATAAGAAAAATAGAAAACATTCAAATCTTACTGTACGACTGAATGATAACAAATGAAATTGTGAAAAAAAGAAACAAGATCCGTGAACAATCAAAAAGTAACAGAAAACAACGAAAATATTACAATAAAGCAAAACGCTTTGGTAAAGGAACAAAAAAATTTCAAGATAAATTTGAAAGGGTAATAAGCAAAAGTGAATTTACCAGCAAGAACATCTTTGACGAAGTTGGTTTTGTAAATGCAAACAGAACTGAAGATTCAGAACATTGGCTAAATCCATGAGAAGTACGAAAATACCGCTTTTAAGCAAATATAACAAATGAAAAACACCAAAGTTATGTGAAGAGGTACATGAAAACCGATTTCTTAACATTGACTTTTATGTTGGATGTAGAGTAAAATTAGATTGGTCTGATGGCTGGATTAGTTTGGTTTGTTTTGTTTTATGGCATATCAACCTCGATGGGTTATTTAATGCCGACAATTTTTATTGTTAATTCTCCTCTCCAAGTTCTCCACTGCCTTAACTGGGTATTAAACTCACACTCTTTGGGTCTTGTCACTGGATCTAACTAACGACTTTATCCTTTAGACATGGCACGTGGAACTAGAACTGTTTACCCCAGTGAGCGAAATAAAGGGTTCAGTTCGACATTCCAACGACCTGAAGAAGGCCGGAGTGTACAACGGCCGAAACGTTGTAATAAATATGGCGACAAAAATGAAGACAATAGTCCGAATAATGTAAATAGTGTACATAATACCTCATCTAAAAAATTAACAGGAAATAACTGATAACTGACATCCATTAGAGATAGCACGTGGAATAAGAACAGTCTATCCCAGTGAGCGAAATAAAGAGTTCAGTTCGACATTCTAACCACCTGAAGAAGGCCGGAGTGTACAATGGCTGAAACGTTTTAATAAATGAGGACAATAGCCCGAATAATATAAATAGTGTACATGATGCCTCATCTCAGAAATATATACAGATACTAAAATAATCATTTATTCGGTTGTATATTGTGCTTATCAAATATAATCCTGTAGCCTATATTTTATGCGTAAATAATCTTGGGAGAGGTATGAATCCACCTCTTCTATCCCCAGCTATGGGTGAATTAGTAAGACACCTATCTTCTTTTATGTGTTGTGTCCCTTCAGAACGTAAGCGATCAGGGCCCTCTACATCTTCCTGCTCTTATGTTTTATCTATTTGTTATTTCTTCCAAAATCTGTTCTACCATCGATTTACTCAAGCTCATCAAGTATGTTACGCGCTACTTTCCTCTGTCTCTCTTTCCCTTCAATCTGCCCTGTGTGTATCAGATTTTCCAAGCCCTCCTTTATTGCGCCCACCAGAAATATCAACTTCCACTTCGTAATGTTAAGTTTCCTTTTTATTTTCAATTTTCTTTAAAACCTCGTTGTTTCTCACATGTTCAATCCATGATATTCTCAGCATCCTTTTGTAGAACAACATTTCTGTTACCTCAAGTCTCCTCTTAATCTTTAAAGAGAATGCTCAGCATTCACTGCCATATAGGAGGACAGATATCACATAACAGTTCAGTACTCTTTTCTTCATTTCTAAGAAAGTGTCTTAATACTCTGCTTAGCTTTTGGAAGGTATCTTTGGCCATCCCAATGCATCATTGCGTTTCTGTGTTGCACTATTCATCCTGTTAGAACACTTCCTAGATATGTAACTTTTTGTACTTTTTTGAGTTTAGTATCCCTGATTTAAAATTTGCATTTTTGGCTCATCCTTTTGCTGACAGTCATTTATTCTGTCTTCTTGTAGTTTATAGTTAGTCCTTTCTTCTCACTTTCCTTCACTACATTCTGTAGGAGCTTTTGTAGTCCCCTTTCCGTGTCTGCTATCAACACTGTCATCTGCATATGTTAAGATTATGCTACCACCAAACCATTATTATCGAGAATAAAAAAAAAAAAAAAAAAAAAAAAAATCAGAAAATATTTTCTGGCTTTAAATAACGTCTATAAAGTTGATAGGCCGTAGAAAACAAATCAATCAATCAATCTGAAAATTTTACGAACATCTGTTGATTAATAACACTATTTTACCGAAATTGAATTGCATAATCTGTCGTCGTATATATTAAAAAAAAAACCCAAAAAACCAAAAACCCCCCCAAAACAAACAAAAACAGACGTTTGAACTAATCATTTCTTCCAAGTATTTATGGGTGAAACTTAAAGTATGAAAACCAGGCTTTTATTGGTATTGAAAATATTTTTCCCTGTCAATTGCTCTCTACTAACAGGCCAGATTGTTTTTATATGATATTCAAATCCAGGTTTTACTCACTCCTGTTGGAAGAACCCCCTCCCTGACAGACCATGTTTTCAGGGGTTTAGTCATACTCACAAGGCTTGGTCAATTGCGGGTTGGTAAGGCTATTTAACCCATAGTTGGGGTTGATGACCGGCCGTTGACTCTAAGGAGTTCATTCGTCCTTTAACATGTCTTGTTTTTGTACCGCTGGGGTTCCAATTGCTCTCACTATCACAGGGTTTAGTCGTCGACCACTTAGGTTTTGAATTCAGAGTTGCCCTTCTTCTAGACCGGTTGCCACTCAAGTCTATAAGACCCACTCTGTCGTGCTCTTTACCCATAGCTGGGGTGGTGAATAGATGGCTACATAACTTTCCCAAAATGAATGTTACGAACTCGATTGTCCGATTCCTCAAACCGAGCTGCTATCCACTACTCCACCTTGCCCACACCCTCTGAAATAGTACATGAAGTATAAAATAAAAAATAAAACTGTTTATGTCTAAATACATCACCGAGATATAACAGTGAACATTTTTTAATTTTTTCATCATTGAACCCGACACGCCACCATACTTTTAACAGTAAACATAAGAAAACGTAAAACTGTTGAGGTTAACAATGTTGTATTATTGTAGGAAGGGAAATGATTAGCATAACTATTATAACAACATTCTTCTTTTCTGTGCCTCAAAGCATTCCTAACTTAGGCGATGATGGCTCTTCACGATTTCCGATCTTTTGTCTCTTTACCATTCGTTTTTATTTTTTGTTCTGACATCGATTCAGACACACACGTTAAGAATGCTACTCGCCGTTTCCTTCTGTTTCATTTACCTTCAATGATTCCAAAATGTCAACTCTTTCAGATGGTAAGCTTCAGTTTCCTTGTTGTCTCTTAAGACTTCCTTCTTTCTCATATGTTCTACCCATGGTATTCTAAGCATACGTCGGTAGAAAGACATCTATCATTTCAATTTCATTCTCTGCTATATAGATGATTAGATATTACACATCACTCCAGTACAGTTTTCTTTATTTTTAATGTTGTTTTGAACTGTCCGAATATTTCGCTTAGTTTCTAGAAAACATCTTTCGTATTCATATGAACTTTTGAATTTCCGTGTAACATTTTCCGTTGTCTTATTATTATACTCAGATATATAAATATTTTTTTGTACATGGTTCATTTTGACGTCCAAGATATTTGGCTGTCTCTTTTTGCTGACAAACATGCTTCTGGCATTTTAAAGATAAGTATTCATCCTTTTCTTCTTGTTTTTCGTTACTACCTTATCTTAGAGGTTTCTCAGTTTTCTTTCTGCGTCTGTCATCAAGACAATGTAATTCGCTTATTTTACGTTGCTGTGTAAGCTGATACTAAATCCTTGTAGGTCTTCTCGTTATTTTAGGATAATCGGCTTACGACCATATCACGTTGAAACACCAGTTCTCGTACGATCACCGAAGTTAAGCAACATCGAGCCTGGTCAGTATCTAGATGGGAATACCTGGTGTTGTATACCGGTGATGTAAAAGAATAACAGCTCGAAATTGAAAACCGGAGAGCCGAGTTCCAATTCTTGTTGGATTCGTTATATTCATTTACGAAGAAATAGCCTCGGGAAAGGGAAGAATATCGCCCTTCTTCAACCCCTCTAGCTATGGGTTAGTTGGTATATCATAGATCATTATCTGCAAAAGACTTAAAATCTAAAAATATTTTTCTGGCATCTGTCTATATTTCTGAGATGAGGTATTATGTACACTATTTACATTATTCGGACTATTGGAGAGGGAAATTAACAGGAGATAACTGATAACTGGCACCCATTAAAAACATGGCAAGTGGAACTAGAACAGTCTACCCCAGTGAGCAAAATAAAGGGTTCAGTTCGACATTCCAACCACATGAAAGAAGGCCGGAGCATACAACGGCCGAAACGTTGTAATAAATATGGCGACAAAGATGAGGACAATATCCAGAATAATGTAAATAGTGTATTTTTCTGGCTTTAAATAAACAGCAAGAGGTTGATAAGTCGTAAAAAAGAAATCAATCAATAAATCTTAGGATTGTCTCACTGTATAAGTTGAATAAATCTGGGGAGAAAACGAATCCTTGCATTACTCTTCTTTGTAGGTCTGATGAATTGGATCGTAATTACGATTCCAATGTAATAAATTATAACCATAGAATATTAGCGTTTGAGCATTTCATATTATATTCTTCCTCTGTCCTGGACATTGAGTTCTACCTGGATTCTATACTCTTGGAATTATATGTATAGACCATTAATATATAGATATATATATATATATATATATATATATATATATATAGAGAGAGAGAGAGAGAGAGAGATACCACTAATATTATGGAGCAATGGATAGCGGCTTGGATTGAGGAATCGCAGAGCCGAGTTTGAATTCCACTCGAATCCATTACATTCACTTACGTGCTAATACCTTGGGAAAGGTATGTATCCTCTTCATTTCCCTCCAGCTATGGGTAAAATAGCAGGACAGACTGGGTTCTATAGCCTTGGATGGCAACTGGTCTAGGAGAAGGACAACTCTGAATTCAAAACCTGCGGAGGGTCGTTTGGGAACCTTGTGGCATGCATTCGGTGCACCAGGTTTCTGTATTCGTCCCTCAAAAAGTGTGGCTGGTCCTGCACGAGGCCTTCACCACTATAATCAAATCTCATGTGCCGGTGTCGGGATGTCGGTTTCCTGGGGACTTATCGGTTGACCCTCATACGTCGAACGCGACGGGAGAGTCGATTATATATATATATATATATATATATATATATATAGGCGCCAAATCTATATATCAGCAAAAGTTGCTGTCATACTGAGAATTAAATTGACTAGATTTTTTTTACCTAGAAAATAAACGATCCTTCAAGAGTTTGGAAAAACTGATAAAGATTTAATGATATTTATTTTTACTGCGAGGCATTCGTAAACCTATGGCAGTGATATTATTATGGAAGCAAACATTTTCAAAACCGAGACTAAATATTTTCAAGAAGCTTAAGAATAAAAAGTGATTTTTAGTAAAATATTAACTAATGCACAGAAATCATATTATATTTCTTCTTATTCTACCATTATGTTTTTTTTAAAATACTAAGAAAACTACTAAGACGCAACGAGGTGGGGGTGGGGATTTACCGGGAGTGAAAAACAATAAGATTTAAGAGAAGGAATCGGAAACCCAATCCTAAACAGGAAACAAAAAAGGTATAAACTTCTACTCCTTTCTCCTTTTCATTTTATTTGTATTTTTTTTGAGCCAGTGTGCGTGTGTTGGGGGGGGCGAAACCTATTCGCAGTAAGTTAGTTTATGTCTCATTAATTATTGCCATTACCTGAGATAAATGATGAACCATTCCGTTTCGATTGCGAGAAAATACGGAGGAAAAATATAAAAAAAGATGCTATTTATATTTATATATAACAAATATATAGACATATATAAAAAAAAGAAGAAAGAAATATAAGATAAACGAGGCAATAATGCTCTCATGCATTTAACGTCTGCTTCGATGAAATGGAAAAATTTTCAGTTGTACCCTATTACATCTTTAAATACAAACATGTATTCATACTTATGATTCTGATTGCAATATTTCGCTAAAGATGTTAAGCTGAAATGCTTAATGATGTTAAAGAGGAATTTTCAAGGGTATTTTATAGTCGTGGAATTCTCAAGACGCTTCTTCAATCATTAATGTATTAATTATGACTCATTCGACGATTCCTGTAGGAAAAGCGTGGAATTTTCTTTGGCATTACTAGTAATGATAATTCATTTTAATTTTTTTTTTTAATGAATGAATAAAACCAATTTTAAAGCTTTTTTCCAACTTGAAATCGTCCTTATGGATTAGGTGGTAAGATCACAACTGTGAGTTGAACAGTAGGGCGAATACGAAACTCAAACTAAAAATTTAAACAAAAATCTCCTGAGAAAAGAGAATAAACAAATGTTCTCACCTGTTGTAGCGATATCAGTGTAAGCCGATATCTTTTTAAACGAAAGCAACTGAAAGATGTTACAGAAATTATTCAGACAGTTATTGTCTTGACGATTATAAGTTGAGCGAAGTGGAACTCACAGGAACCATGCCAAAAGAGTCTGACAAAGAGGTTCAGAGGTTTAGACAGTGCTGACAGGACAAGCGTTGTTTTGTACAAGACAGTGGTTATATAATATATATAAATATATATATATATATATAGGGATAAATATTCCTCCACCACAACGATAAAAAATAGAAGGGTAAGCGCGCCATGTTCATGGGAATGTTTAGCCCCCCCACCAACCCCTTAAGCGCCTAACCTGTTTGAAATCTTCATCTGAACAGTGGTAGAAGGTTAGGTCCGAATAAACTTCGAAACCCCTGCTAAAAAGCATTATGTCTAAACGGTTTTATTTGAGAGAGATTTTCAAAAAATTATTTTTAGAAAAAAAGCATTCAAATGGTTAAAGAAATACATTCTGAGAATAAAATTGGCGTCTACAATTTTGAAGAAAAAATAATTCCAGTGCTGTATTATGTTTAAGAATAAACACATTGTGGAAAAAAATGAGGCAAATTTCAGACAAGGTTTGTTTGATGATCCCATTGGTTTCACAAAATAAAAGGGCTTAGTTTTAAATTTCTTTAATAAGTAATGAGTAGTGATGGAAGTAGAGGAGAACCTCTATCATATGAAATGGGCACTGAGAAATTGATCTGGAACATATATATATGGTCAAAGAAAATATATATTGTAGATAACGACATATATAGAATGTGTTTTAGCGTTAGAGACGTGTGTTTTTTTGTGTCCATACACCTAATATGCGATACACATCGTCCATCATGTATGAATACGTGGTTGAAAAAAAAAAGAAAGTACAATATTTCCTCCATTTATACCCTTAAAAATCCTTATGATATCGAATGGACGTAAAGTTATAAACTTTTGTTTACAGTTTCTTTAAATTGTGTGTGTGATCTTTTTTTTATTTACTTATTTCCTGTATTGTTGAAATTGTTCGCTTGATTTATTTGTTGATTCTTTGTGTATGATATAAACCCTAAATATTGTTGTAATGAGCAAGGGCCGAGATGACAAAAAATATTTAATATTTTTTCATTAAAAAATGGGGATTATGTAGCAATATTAGTGTTACCTTTTTAAAGGCAAACATATGAAAGATGTTAAAAAAAATTGTTTCGTCAGTTATTGTCTTGAGGATTATCAGCTAAGTGAAGTGGACCTCACAAACTTGAATCCTTCAATCAACCAGGGACAAAGTAGTTCATGATTTAAATTTTTCGGATACGCGTTGAGCATGGATCTACAGCAGAATGTTACCGTTGACATAAATTTTTCCTACGTAATTTCGTATCATGAATTTTTGTTTAGCCGGGGGAAACAAACTGTAAAAAGAGTTATTTAAAAAAAAATCATTTTTTTCTATATGGAATTTTTAAGGTGGGCCTTGAGAACGAGACTGGTGTCTGGTCTGAGTTGCAACGGTAGACTGTACTGTACTTCAAATGACTGATTCTTTAGGAATAGTTGTTAATGAAATATAAAGTAAATTAATGCTGGACATTTTTCTAAGATATGTCAAAAGAGTTTTGAAAAAAAAAGAACCATTGGTTCTACAGAAGGATGCTGAGAACACTATTGACCGAACATGTGAGCAACGACAAAGTTATAGAGTAAAAAGAAACAAAAAGGACAATTACACTTAAAAGCATGACGAAACAGTTGAAATTTCTAGGGCACAATATGAGGAAAGAGAACTTGAAAGATGTGATATTCACAGGACAGCTTGAAGGCAAGAGGACAGAGGAAATGGATTGCAGAACAGTGTTTAGGAGAGGTAACAAAAAGACAATTTATTAAAAGCTACAAAGGGCAGGAATGAACACGGCACATAGAACAAGATGAAGAAGTTAAGGACGCCTGTACATTAAACTAAGCAAATCTGAGTAATTAACCCTGTAAGTATTATGATGATAGGGGGCGTAAAACCTGCTTTTGTGAAAAGGGTGTGGTAGGACAATGATTTACTAAGGTTGATTTTGTGTAGTAACGATGACGTTTGTTGCCATGTTTAGAGAATATGCATTGACATTGGGCGTCACCAGCTCTATTGCTGATTACTACTTTAGAAGGTAGAATGAAAGTTTACTTTTGGCTATAAAAGCTATGGCTATAGGTAAAATCAGCAGCAGATACAGAAATGGCGTCAAGGAATTTGTGGTGGTTGAAGAAATGTTTGCATGTATTTTTGTTTAGTTTGATCAATAAGTGTGGAATAAATACATGCAGACAAAATAGGAAAGAGAAGCAAAATAAACATCTTATCTTCGCACCAGCAATTTTTATATTTTATATATATAATATATATATATATATATATATATATATATATAATATATATATATATATATATAAAGAGTTATTTTTTTAATTCCGCCATATTGTTTAGCATTGTGCCGCTTTA